AGGCCCACCCTGGCTAAAGATTTAGGCACTGGCTAAATCTTACACCTGTTAATCTCACCTGTTTCTAAAATTTGGCGACAAAAACCATCATTTATCTAAAGAACAATTGCTATTTCACGCTCTCACATGAGAGCAGAATCTAACCAAACTGCACCACCAGCACCAGGTAGAGATGCAGGCCCCTGAATGAGTGTCTCTAAGACTTGCCTGCCTACAAGTTAGGGCCCCTCTTGCAGTGAGTGTGCCCTGATGCCCTGGGGTGAGTCTGCAAGGAAGAGGTGGGAACTGCTGTTGTTGCCTCTTGCCCTGGCTTGAAGCTTAAAAGTTAGAATATCCATTAGAGGCAGTGCTCAAGGTGAGCTCTGCCCCTCCTTTGCAGATGAAGCTTCCTTGGGGAAGGTGGCAGGCGAAGGGGTGGAAGTTAATCCCAGGGTTGGTCTGCAATACAGGGGTATAAGAAGTGCTGGGGGGAAATAATGACTTTTTAAAAACCCCACAACCAATTCTAACAATTGGAGGTGAAATGTGTCATCATAAAATATGCATTTAGTTCGGGGGGGGGGGAGCATCTTTCAAAAACTATTAAATGGCAGGATTAACAGAGGACACCTGATCAGTGATAAAAAGTAGGCAGTATATTATTTGAATACAAAGGTTTATTTTTAAACAACATTTTTATCAATTTCCAGCTTTTTACACAACAAAATATCCAAAATAACATAACAAATAATAAAATAGTATAAATAGTATACATTTTTTCAGAATTAGGAGATATAAATTATATCAACATATAGCATTATTATTATTTTTTTTACTGCTGAGATAAATAAATTACTGTTACATATTAAAGGCCAGAATCAAACTGAGGAGGGTGGGGGAAATTAAAAAAAAAACAAGAAAACAATATATATGCTTCACCAGGCAGGACAACACCATAAAGCTCCATGCCAGACAGATATTCCTGTTCATTTCGGGCATTAAGTTGCTTAAATTACAGTCATACCTTGGTTGACTAATGCCTTGGGACTTGAACGTTTTAGCTCCCAAACGCCGCAAACCCGGGAGTGTTCTGGTTTGCAAACGTTCTTTGGAACCTGAACATCCGTTTCAGCTGCTGGCATTGTTTCTGGGGCCAATCAGCCAATCGGAAGCCGCGCCTTGGTTTGCGAACGTTTTGGAAGTCGAACGGACTTCCGGAACGGATTCCGTTCGTAAACCAAGGTATTATTATTATTGGCATATTGTATTAATTCCCACCAAACAGAACTGAATATGAAATTTTAAAGCTGCAAATGTGTTTATAATATCATCATAACAAAGTTTAGAAGCTAGCATATGTTCTATGCTGATGATACTTGCTGGTTAGTCACTGTTGACTTGCTGTGCTTCCGAGATGCAGTTTTATTTGTTTTAGTTTGCTAAAACTCCTTTCATTAGAGGCAACTGAAACTGGCATTATAAGAAAAATTCTCAAAATAGTAAAATTGTTTGTGTCTGTATCTGGCTTCTGTAAGGCGGTCTGACTCCCAACACCCATCATCTATTTTCCAAGCCAGGTCCTGAGAGGGGACAGCAGTTACTGTCTATGCTTGAGGGTCCACTTGATCAGGGAGTGGGATGGGGCTCCCTTACCTTCAGCCTCCACTATTCACGAGTCAAAAGAGGGTCCACCAACGGCTTACGGTCTACCCAAGTGGGCTTTGAGTGGACATGATTGATTCCATTAGACTGGTCATTTGATCTGGGTCAGCTGAAAAAACAGGACATTTGATACTTCCAGTTGAAAAGGTCCGTGCTGGAGAACGGGACGTGAACCCAGGTTAGTTGTGCCTGGAGACCTGCAGCCATTTGCCTCAGAAGGTAAAGACTCTGTAGAGTTGGTGTCAGGCTTTTTCCTTTTTCATGTCACCTTTTTAACAACCTGTTTTCTTACATCAACTAAGGCAGTTCCCAATCCATCCACATCCCTCAGAGTAGAGGTCTGTGTTTTTCTTTTCACTTTCTCCAGATTAGCAAGGCTTCTGCTCAAATCATCTATACTTCAATCCAACAGGGAGATTTCAACCCCATTGGCCTCCCCTAGCTCAGTTTCTCCACCTACAGCACCAAATTCCCTCAGCTTGTCCAGGGGACACCCAAAGGAGCCATGTTGGGTTGTCTTCCCCCCGCTCCCAGGGTCCTTAGGATGCTGAGACCAAACCAATGAGCGAGTCTGATATGGGGACGTTCTGCCTGAGGGTGCATCTTGAATTGGGGATGGCGCCAGGTCAGGGTGAACAAGAGTGCCATCAACAGGGACAGGATTGGGGTGAGATACATAAGGGGGAGGGTCATATTCTTCAGGATCAGAAAGTACCGGGGGCGGGGGCAGAGGAGCCTTTTCTAAGACTGGCAGAAACTTACACGGCTTCATCAAAGCAAGTTTCAACGTCAAATCATGAAACAATTCTCCATAGTTATGTTCATCCCATTTCCCAGTGCTCCAACAATTTCAAAATAATGCCGTGATCTATCAATCCAAATTCCAGCCAAACAACAAGTTCACTGAGGTTATAAAGATGCCATTCCTGCTGGCAAAATTGCCTTAATTTTTGCTTGGTCAAGGAATGGTTTTGTTAATCACTCCCCAAACACACACAACACGGAGGGAGTGGGTTATGGTTTGTTTGTTTTTTCAACATGTGGCTCTGTCTCCTTTTCCTGCTCTGTTTGTCATGGTAATCATTAGTTGTGTTCAGCCACCTGTTTGTGTTCTGCCATGCCCTCGCAGTAGGTGAGGGCAGGCTGAGGTGGTTGAGCTAGGGCCTCGTTGGCTCTAATGGAGCAGCCTCCGCTGTCTGTGTGCCATTTGGTCTTACTTGAAACTTCAGTCTAAAGTCTAGTCTGCTGGCCTCAGGCAGGCAGGATGTGAGGTGCTGTCCCACTATCAGTGCTGAAGGAAGATTCAGCTGCTACAATCTGTACAGGGAATTGTGGGTGGGTTGCATCTTGCCCATCACCTCAGCTAGCCCAGGTAGGGAATATGCACTAACCTCTTTCAGCAAAGAACTGGAGAGAGGAAAGGAAATTGTTAAGGGAAGACACCCACACACGTAAGTAAGTTGTGCTTCCATACCTTTGGAATTTGACAATGTCATGTGTTTATCTCTTTGGAAGCATGCAATGTGGTTTTAAAATCCATGTTGTTTGAATATATATCAGTGGTGGCTCCTGGCTGATACCCGTAAAGCAAAACTGCTTATGTGTAGAAATAATAGTGGCATCCCATATTCATTTGGGGAGGCAGTCGGACATTCATGGAAAGATGGCAGCTATTGAGACTCTCTTGGAATACAGTCAAATAGACATGTATGGAACGCAGTCCATCGTGGCAGTTACAGTGGTACCTCGGTTTATGAACTTAATCCGTTCCGGAAGTCCGTTCTTAAACCAAAGCCATTCTTAAACCGAGGTGCTTTCCCTAATGAGGCCTCCTGCCGCCGGCGCCCTTCCCCCGTTCGGCTTCTGTTTGTAGACTGAAAATTTCTCAGAAAGGAATGCTGTGAGGTTTTAATGGTTTTTAGTACTGTGCGCTGCTGGGTATGCACTGCTTAGTATTGTTAGCCGCCCTGTGCTCCCATTACGAGGAAGGCAGGGGGATATAAGTACAATGAAATAAATATATTAACCAACCAGAGAAGCAAACAAGGACCTGGTTCCAGAGCTTAGAACTGATGGGATTAGTTGCTGATGGTGTGTTTTTCTGGTGATTTTCTCCCTGTGTTTAATTCGCTAATGTTTTCCTCCCTCTAGTTCCAGAGAAGTAGGGCGATAGTCAGTATACTATAATCTCTCTCTCACTACCCCCCCCCCCTTTTCTCCAAGTGACATTTCATTGATGGGCAATTTTTCTAAACAAGAGTAAAATTGCTGTGCCTGCTTCTCTGTCAATAAATTCCATTATTTCGCATGGAACGTGGTCACAGAGACCGAAAATGCCAAAGTGATTACACAGAGGAACTGGAGGTCTGAGAGCTCTATAAATCTATAGGTAAAGTTTGATAAAGCGAATTGATACTTCCCCTAAGAGGCGTCCGGTGAGATTTATGGGCCTCAGACTCGTTACTGCCATGCTCCTGCTGGCCACCCCTTGTTTAATTAATGCAGCTGCTGTTTTCTGCAAATAGACTTTGCGTATAAGCCAAATGGGATCTCCATAACTCCTAGCACTCCTGACCTTTTCCTTCCCCGCCCCCCATGGATGAAATGCAAATATAAATGAGTATTGCAGGAAAGAACCTTGAATGACAAATGACACACATACACAACCCATGTGCAAAAAGAAGTAGAAGAAGAAAAGTAGGCAAACTAGCAGCATGTCAGGAGCAACTACGATAGAATGGAAAACAAGTCCTATGTGTTGAATGAACCGGGTACTTTCAAAAGAAAACACTGGGGAGGCAGAAGCATGAAAGCACCTGTCTAATACCTGAAGGGCTGTTATATGAAAAAGGGCATATGCTTGTTTTGTGCTGCTGTGCCTGAAGCAGGACTAGGTCTAATAGGAGTGGGAGCTGGTCCTTGTTGCAAATGGTAGGGCAGAGAAGCCAAGGAGACCAAGGACTCAGCTATACAGCTGCAAAAACAACAACAAAAATGTTTTAAGTGTGTTGTAAAGTGCATTACACAAATGTGACACCAGATGGCAATGGTGAGCTATGGCAAATCAATAGGTTTGTCAAAACTTTTTAAAAAAAAGCATTTTCACAACGTTTTTTATATGTGTCTAGATTCCACCCAACATTAGGTGGCAACAGAACCAGTCCCTGATTGGTTTTAAGAAAAAAGGCAGGCAGGTAGGAACTGGCTGAAAATTAAAATTAGTGGGGCAGCACCCTGTTCACTCCACTAACATGCAGAGCTTTTTTATACTGAGTCAGACCATTGGCCATCTAGCTCAGTATTGTCTACACTGACTAACAGCAGGGTTTCAGACAAGGGACATTCCCAATTCCGCCTGGAGATGCCATCAGGAACTGAACCTAGGGCCTTCTGCTTGCAAGGCAGGACTTTTCCACTGAGCTATAGCCTACATTCTGAGTGAGTGGATTTTGACTGAACACAAGGGGGAACTTCTTAGTGGTGATAAACAATTACCAAGAGTGCTGGTAGGCTCTCTCTTGCTGGAAATCTCTAGCATTGCCAGCCATGTTTAGCTCAGGAACACCTTTTTCAGCCCATGGACAACATTTCATCTTAGGCAACCTGTAGCAGGGCACACAGCACTGGGGGGCAGGACCAGATAACAAAATTGGGGGGAGCAGTAGATATTACCCTTACCTTTGTAAGTGGAGGTAGAACACAGCAATCATAGCTGGCAGCCATTGGTAGCCTAGTCATCCATAAATTTGACTAATTCTCTTTTAAAGCCATCCATGTTTGTGGCCATCACTGCCTCCTGTAGGAGAAAATTCCATAATTTAACCATTCACTGCATGAGCAAGTACTAGTTCTAGTAATACTACACAGCCGCACAGCCTCAACTTAAAGGATAGTACCAATGTTGCTTAGCTTCAGTGAATGAAGCCCCCACCCTTGAAGTTCTGTAACCCCCACCTTGGAGACAGCATCGTTTTTATCAAAGCAACTGATGAAGCTGGGAGCCAGAACATTTTGCTAGAAGAAGAATTTTTGTTTTGTTTTGTTTTGTTAGACACTGATATATCAATAATATGCACAAAGGTGTCCTCCTTTTTAGCGATGCATTGCCTCTTTGGGGGCAATCTGTAGGAGGCCAGCCTATCTAAAAGGATTCCTACAAGGAAATGTCTCCACCACCACTGCAACCAGGTTCTTCCCACCCAGAGCTGATGGCATTGATAATGATGCCTTTTTAAAAAAAACTTTTGAAATAATGAAGATTTGAATCCACTAAATTAAGAGAACGTTTTGGCCTAAGAAACAGCTTGTTGGTCATAAGTCATACAACAATAAATTTTGCTTGACTGACAACAGTATTAACCAACAGGAAACATGATTGATGGGCACCCAGGGTCCCTGAATGCAAAAATAAAGAGGCAAAAGGCTTGTGAGGCTCTGATAGGCAAAGTATAAATATGTATCACTTGCTTCTAAAGTGAGTTATGATTACATTTTCCTACTTCTACCTGAAATCTGTAGAGGTTATTCGTCTTATCCCTGTATCATCCATGACAGTTATAGCCAGGCAGTGCATACGCCACCGATAACTGTGCCGTAGATAAATCAGGAGGCATGAAGGAGCCTGTTTTATCAATTTGATCTCGTGAATAAATATCCAAATATGTGTTAGAGTATTGTTGTCATCCCCGGACAATTTCCTTCTCCTAGCTGATACATTTTTAAAGAGGTTGCTCTGAGAAGCACTTTCAAGACAGGACTAAAGAGAGAAAAAGTGGAGGAGTGAAGGGAAGAGTGGAAGAATGGTAAAATTGTAGAGATGAAAGGGGCCACAAGGGTCATCTAGTCCAACCCCCTGTAATGCAGAAATCTCAACTAGATCATCCATGGCAGATGGCCATCCGACCTCTGCTTAAAAACATCCAAGAGAAGAAGAGGCTGCTCAGGACACTTCATTTTATGTTGAATGCATGAAGCTGTTGGTATTCTGGCAAATACAGCATTAGAACTGACCTCTGGTGGGACTGCCCAAAAGTATTTAAATTCTGGGGAATGTTTTGTCAAGAAATTACCATGCTGCTCAAATATTCCATTCCAATTCACTGCAGATTTGTTTATTAAATCTATAGGACAATGAACTGAAAGGGTTCAGCTCTCAGGAAAAACTGATATGGGTGCTGCTGGCTGCCACAGCTCCATTTGCCCCCCCAAAATAGAAAACCTCACAGGACTTGCAACTTTCACTTTGGTGTAAGAATATGTGGAGATTAGCTGGAAAAAATAACCCACAAATCACGTGTTGTCAGAGGATCCTGAAAAAATTTACACTGTTTTTTGGGATTATATTATATATACAGTGGTACCTCGGGTTAAGTACTTAATTCGTTCTGGAGGTCCGTTCTTAACCTGAAACTGTTCTTAACCTGAAGCACCACTTTAGCTAATGGGGCCTCCCGCTGCCACCGCGCTGCCGGAGCACAATTTCTGTTCTCATCCTGAAGGAAAGTTCTTAACCTGAAGCACTATTTCTGGGTTAGCGGAGTCTGTAACCAGAAGCGTATGCAACCTGAAGCGTATGTAACCCGAGGTACCACTGTACAACAAATACAGATGCACAGGACATCCTCTCCATGGTAGGCATATGGCCCTTGGAAAAGTGGGTGGAACAATGGGTGCAGATGTTGTCTCAGTGTAGTAGGCTGATTTCTACACACCCTCACACAGCTCTCTCTATTCTCCATCCAGATGAGCAAAATTCAAGCACCCATTCGAGACTGGGGGGGCCACTCAAGGAGGCTGCAAAGCAGGGCCAGTGAGAGAGTGGAGAGAGGTTTGGAATGCTCTCTCCAGGGAAGTATGTCTGGCACCATCATCATCATCAACTAGGCGCCAGGCAACTATGAACCACTTTACTCAGATATGGCTCTTAAGTGAAATCAGATGGTAGGATGTTCCAGCCTGTTTTGGGCCATATCGCCACCATACATTTCAAGGAGTATCATGCCATGTTAAATAATCAAGGCCTCCCCCAAAGTAACTGCAGTTCAGTAAGGGTACTGAGAGTTGTTTGCAGACTCCTGTTCCCTTCGCAGAGCTACAATCCCCACAATTCTCTGGGAAGAAGGGTTGATCGTTAAACAATGCTGAGAAGCCGTGGCTGTTACAGTGGTATAATTGTGGTTGAAATGTATGGAGCAGATGTGAACTTTGTGTTCCTCTCTAGACAGGATGTGTACATTTAGCAAATAATACTGTTCCACTTCATTTGGTGTTTGTTTTAAGCACGGGTGGCGCTGTGGGTTAAACCACTGAGCCTAGGGCTTGCCGATTGGAAGGTCAGCGGTTCGAATCCCCGTGACGGGGTGAGCTCCCGTTGCTCAGTCCCTGCTCCTGCCAACCTATCAGTTCGAAAGCACGTCAAAGTGCAAGTAGATCAATAGGTACCACTCCGGCAGGCAGATAAACAGTATTTCTGTGCGCTGCTCTGGTTCACCGGAAGCACCTTAGTCATGCTGGCCACATGACCTGGAAGCTGTCTGCAGACAAACACCGGCTCCCTCAGCCAGTAAAGCGGGATGAGCGCACAACGCCAGAGTCGTTCGCGATCGAACTTACGGTAACTGTCCTTTATGTGTATGCTGTCCACTTTGATTCTTTTTTGGAGTAAAGTGACTAATAAGGGTAATAAATAGTAAAATACAGTAATTTATGTGGGAGTTACATTCCAGGGATAGTGCCTAAAGCCAAAAGTACGGTACATATAGTCAAAACACATTGGATGCTCCTGGCAAATAGAAGGGGGGAAAATTGAGACAGTGAGAGATTTTACTTTCTTGGGCTCCATGATCACTGCAGATGGTGACAGCAGTCACAAAATTAAAAGACGCTTGCTTCTTGGGAGAAAAGCAATGACAAACCTAGACAGCATCTTAAAAAGCACAGACATCACCTTGCCGACAAAGGTCTGTATAGTTAAAGCTATGGTTTTCCCAGTAGTGATGTATGGAAGTGAGAGCTGGACCATAAAGAAGGCTGATCGCAGAAGAATTGATGCTTTTGAATTATGGTGCTGGAGGAGACTCTTGAGAGTCCCATGGACTGCAAGAAGATCAAACATATCCATTCTTAGGAAATCAGCCCTGAGTGCTCACTGGAAGGACAGATCGTGAAGCTGAGGCTCCAATACTTTGGCCACCTCATGAGAAGAGAAGACTCCCTGGAAAAGACCCTGATGTTGGGAAAGATGGAGGGCACAAGGAGAAGGGGACGACAGAGGACGAGATGGTTGGATAGTGTTCTCGAAGCTACCAGCATGAGTTTGACCAAACTGCGGGAGGCAGTGGAAGACAGGAGAGCCTGGCATGCTCTGGTCCAGGGGGTCACGAAGAGTCACACACGACTAAATGACTAAACAACAACATCAAAAATAAAATATTACGAGATAATTTGCGGGGGAGGGGCAAGATTCCGACTGCCTAGGGGTCCCCACAGGATTTAATCCAGCAGTGTAAGTGGGCTGTTTCTTGCTGGAGGTCTCCCAGCAGAAGCTAGATAGTCATCTGCTCCAGATGTTCAACCAGTGGATTCGCCATTGGGGTGAAGTAAATGCCTTGCAAAGGCCCCCTTCAACTCCATGAAAGCATCAAAACAAAAATGACCAAAAATAACATTTTCTTTGCACACCCTCCAAGTGTCCCTATTTTCCAGGGCCGGTCCCAGATTTACAAATGCTGACCCGCTTTCTGATGCTGGAGGTTACAGAGTCATGTGACCCCCGAGCCAAGGATGTCAGTAACTATACAACCTTTAGAAGACATCTGAAAGCAGCCCTGTATAGGGACGTTTTGTAATTTTAATGTTTTATTATGTTTTTATATATGTTGGAAGCTGCCCAAAGTGGCTAGGGAAACCCAGCCAGATGAGCAGGGTATAAATAATAAAATTATTGTTATTTAATAGGACGTCCCTATTTTCATTGGAGAAATGTCAGAGGGTATGCCTTTGAATTGTAGGATGTCATCTTGCATCACCACAGAGAACAATGATCCTGAAGATTGTGATCTTTATAGCCAGATGGAAGTAGCACAGATTTATGTCATGGTGAAACCGAGGGCTTGCATTGGAACATTTTGTCATGAAAAATTCAAGTGCAGGGTATATTAATGTCAACAGCACTGGGCAGGAATCAGCAGGGTTATTGTGCTTGCAAAAATGTGGTATTTTAAGGAGAGATGTCTGCCTATCAGCCTTAAGATCCATTTCAGGCTTTGAATGTTTTGAAAAGACACTATATAGAATAGTTCAGCTAATTCCAGGCACTGAGTACATTGGCAAAGCAGGAAGGAGTAAGCTTCTATAACAAAGGTGAGAAAATGTACTTTAGCCATCTGGGTGAGCTTCCAAGGGCCACATGCAAGTGGTGGGGAGGGCC